ACTTCGCTGTCTAAGAAGAAACCAAATCTTTCTTTACCTTCAGCGTGTGTAGTGGCCCTTTATCCAGTGCACGGATGTGGAGAAGCAGGTCTGACTGAGGGGTGGCTGCCCCAAACTGACAAGGGTAAACTGATCTCTCCTCCCTCACAGTAAGGGGTTGGGGTCCCTGAGGTGGGAAGGCCCAGCAGGAGTCTGTGTCTACCTGGCCATGGCTCTCTCTGAGGCAGCTGCTCAAACTTAAGGAGCCTCAGCCACTACCTGCCCAAGTGCCCCAGGTACACCAGCCTGATCCTGAGGGAAGAGACATTCCTCCAGGGCCACATAGCTCCTGAGGGCCCAGGAAGGTCCAGTTGCTCCCTTGGAGCCAAAGTGTGGAAACCACAGCCCTGGACAGCACATGCAGTACCTCCTCACCTGCCCAGGGAGTGCCACTCTTAGGCCTGGCCTCCCTCCTGCACCAGTTATGGAAAAGCAGCTCCTTCATAGTGTGTCCAACCACCCATCCAAAGCCACACCCTGAGAACATTGAGATACACAGCTGCTTAACCCCCAGGCCCTGCAGGAAGACAGAATGCCAGGTGACACGGGAGTCTTGGAGTTTTTAAAAATGGAAGAGCCCTCAAGATTGCTTCACAACGTCCTGCCAGACACAAGCTCTGCAGGCAGGAAAGTGGGGAGTACCCAGCAATGCAGCCACAGTGGGGCGTGTGGTCATTGCCTTTGGATGCTGGTAGCTGCCTCTCCCAGCTGTTAGGCCCCTGGGAGCAGGGCTGTCTCAGCACCTCCAGGATTCCCTGGAACCCAACTTCCACCACAAGTCAGGCTACTTCATGCTGACAGCAGACCACCACACAGCTTGCCCTGAAAGGCCCACAGGTCTCCTAGAGTCTCCCAACCCCCAATGGCTCTCTGCTCCAAGTTCTAGGGTGGTATCAGATGAGCAGAATCCTTACAGGGTTTAGTCCAAATCAGGACTTTTCCTGTCTCAAAACAAACACTTGAGGAGGATGCGCCTTGCACAGAGGCCTCCAATTGCCCTTCCCTCCTTCACAGGTGCCCGCTCTCTTGGGGACAGGCTTCCTAGGCTCAGAGCCTTGAGAGAAACTCAGCTTCTCTATGCCTCAGTTTCCCCAGCAGTACAACAGACATAACAGGGTGGTGACCCCAAGGGATGGCATGAGGACTGCAGGAGTCGGTGGGGCATGCGGAGGCTATGGCAGGAACAGCTCACGAACGGGGGTGAGGCCTGAGCGGCAGCCCTCACACCACCCTCCTCTGTGAAGCCAGCTCATGGCCGGAACTTCTACACAGACTTGGACAGGAACCTGGTGCCCAAAGAAAACTTCCAACTTGGTCTGAGCTATTGGACCTTCCTCAATCGCTCACACCCATCCCTACCTTGGTTTCTCCATCCTCTGAGAGAGGAAATTACAAGAGGGATGGGAAGGAGGAAGCGAAGAGGACAGAGCAGCTGCTCCCACCAGCTCTGCCACAGTTGTTCATGCCGCCAGAGTCTGCAGGATGGGAGGGATATCCAGGTATTGGGAGGTGGGCTCAGGCAAGTCCAGAGGAGGCTCTGAAAAGTGTTCAGGCCTTGAAGGGCAGGCAGAGCTTCCAAGATCCAAGACTGGGAAGAGGCAGGGATGGTGAGGGCAGAGAGCAGTGTAGGCTGAGCCAGGCCAGAGGCCCCAGGCAGCAGACTCAGGCCGCCCTCTGGGACATGCAGCGGGGCCACTCCAGACCTTGCGAGAACAAGGAACAGAGACAAGGTGACTACAGGGACAGCTGGGAGGGGATCCAGGCCTGGGTGAGGTGGAGGGAAGGAAGGAGCTGATGACACCAGCCAACACACACTTATTGCGTAAGCACTTATTGTGTGCCAGGCACCAGTCCCAGCTTGTGACAGGCTTCAGCTCACCAAATTCCACCCTCGGCTTCCCTGGGATATAAGTATACTGCACAGACAAGATCCCGAGGTAGCACATAAGTCAGCAAGGGCATCCAGACTTTGTCTTCCTGCTCTCTCTGGGAGCCAAGCGAGGGTGGGGCTGAGACTGCACCAGGACCCCCACCACTTGCCTGGGGCATGCCCTCCAGCCCTCACATTCCCAACCTACAAGGACCACTCACTCATGGTACCTGCCTGAACCATGCAGGCAGGAACTGTCTTGAAAAGGGCAGCACACCTGTCCTTTTCAAACTGCAGCTAAGGACACAGAGTGAGATGTTCCATGGCTACTGAGGACAGGAAACATCACATGGCTGACCAAAATCTGTCACCACGGTGGGGAAGGGGGCACAGCAGAACTTGTGACATACAGGGCCCTTATTAAGCCAAGGTCAATCACTAGCAAAATGGTTAGGCAAAATGGGCCAGTGGGTACCCTTCCTCCCGCACACCATGGTGTCAGTAGGACACAGACACACATACACTCACCATGTGAGAAAGGCTGCAGGGCCAGCACCACTGCCACTGGCCCCACAGACGACCCTCCCTCAGGTCTGGTCACAACCCAGTCACCTGGGACAGACCAGCCAGCTTCTCTCCCTCTAAGACAGTATTATCTACAAATGCTCAACAAGAATACAGGCCCCTCTGTTTGTAGCATAATTTGTTAGTAACTGAACCCACTTTAGTTAAAGAAATAAAGTTTTAAAAGAATGAAGATGGCTCATCTCTCTACAGGAGAAAACAAATAAAATTTTAAAAAGACCCAACAGATATGGTCTCCTTAAATCTTGATTTTTAAAATAAGAGTAAATATTTCCAAGTATAATAATAACAAGAATTAAGAGAAGCTGACAAGAACCTGTGTTGACATGGCTTTGAGTAAACTGGTGTGAGCTTTCTGGCAACATCTACTGAGACTATGATGCACCTTCCTCTAGTTCTGCTGAGACTTCCAGCTGAACTGTTCTCATCCCACCTACAATGAGGGAAACTGAAGTTCAGGACAGTGGGACAATGGGTCCAAGGCCATGTGGCCAGTGTGTGTGAGAGCTAGACGGTAACATCAAACTAAGCAAGCAGCCACCTGAAGAACACCTGTGGAGACCGATATACCTTCTTCCCAATTCCCCTGGGGACCCATCCTCCAGACACATGCCACAAAACTGAGTCAAGATTCTTACACTGGCCAAATGTCTGTAACAGTAAAGAGTTGACAACTGAAAGGTCCCTAAGCAGGGAATGATTAATTCCTGTGCAACTTTCCCTTCTGGTCTGCTCTTACAGCGGATGTGAATTCGAGCTTGTGAACACAGAAGGGGATTGCACATGCTGCCAGTGGGAGCTCACTATGAACTCTGAGGGGAGAGGCTAGGGAAGACCAGGCTCACCTCTGAGCTGCAGAGGGTGAGCCTAAGGTCTCCCACTCCATATTCTCAAGGCCCCCTCAGCATCCCTCCATCTTGGGCACATTCCCCTACCCCACACACTAAGATGAGGCCCTTGCCAGAGGGGTCACATGTCACCCCTCTTGTAGATCTAGTGCCAGATAAGCCTGGCTTGGAGTAGGCACCAATACCTGCTGACAGATACAAGACCTCAGGTCGAATGAGCTCCACCATCACCCTCCCTGGGGCCCCTATCTGTCTTCTACAGGGCACCTGCTCCACCAAGCATAGATTTAAGTACCTTCATGAATTAATTCCCTGCACTATCAGAAGGGGACCCAACTGGTCTCCTCAGTGAGACACGGAGGCTCAAAATAGCCCAAGCACCTTCCTGAGGCCACTGGGAGTGGGGGGCTGGGAGGTGGGCAGTCTGGGAAGCAGTGAGCATGGTGGATCCTGAGACCAAGGGCCAGGAGCCTACCTGGACAAGATAAGAATCAAGTAGGGAAGGGGCAGACTATCTCAGGCACTGACAGGCTAGATACCTAACACCTTGTCCAGGCTTTTTAAATATGTCTCAGACGAACCCTTTCTGGGTGGGATGTTGCAGAGGAAGAAGCTAAGGTCCCTGCTCATAGCCACATCACCAGCAAAAGGCAAGACCTGGATCCAAACCTGGGTGTTCCACCCAGGAAGCAACTTCTCCCTCCTCACCCCCACAACAAGGCTGGGGAGGCAAGGAGGACTGAGAGAAAATGGTGCTTAAATCACCCAAGAGAATTACTTCACAGCAGGACTGCGCAGCTCTCGCTGCAAGGCTCTTTGGCAGCCTGGGGGTCCAACCTGCTCACCCCAGAGTAAAAATCACACAGGAGACACAAGGCTTATCCATGACAAACACCCACAGACCTGTCCCCCAACTTCAGGGAAGGGCCTGGGAGGGCAACCAGGACGGGAAGTGGACAGAAGCACTGTATCACAGAGAAGTAACTAGCGGGGTGGTCTGCGAGCTGAGCATGGGGACAGGCTGTGGGGTACCCCCGCCAGCTGTGATGAACACATGCAAGGCAAGCCCCCGACTTCGCCTTTTCCTGGTCTCCCGGCGCTGAAACCTCTGAAGGCAGCTGCGCCCAGAGAAAGGAGGTGATGTGCCTGGAGACGATGGAGACACACGCCCGGTCTTTCCCAGCCGGTCACCTGCATCCATCCCACGTCCCCATCCCCCGCACTCAGAAAGTCAAACACCGCAGAGGACGCCATCCCACCGTGCCCGAGACCTGCCATCAGTAGCAGAAAAGCTGACCACAAGGCTCCACCGCAGCCCTTGCCGCGGAGGCCAGAGTTTCTAGAACGCGCATCGCCCACCACACTTGGGGCCCGCCACCCACCGCAGGGCCGCCTCCCGGCCGGCCAAGCACACTGACCCTGGGCGCCCCGGTGCTGATCCGGCCTGCCTGGGGTCAGGGGTCGGCAGGGGAGTCGACCCAGCCCGGGGTCAGAGGTCAGTTTGGCCTGCGTCGGAGGCCGGTTGGGGGTCCGCTCGGGGGTAGTCTTGGCCACGGTCAAGGGCCGGCTCTGGGGTCAGTGCTGAGGTCAGTCCGGGTCCGGGGTCGGGATTGGCCGGGGACGCGGAGGGCGTGGCGCCGGCGGCCCTTGCTCCTTACCTCCTTGAGCTGCTCCATCTCGCCGCGGATGGCCTCGTAGTCCACCTCAAGCTCCTCGAACTGCAGTTTGAGTTGGTGCTTCTCCTCGAGCACTGCCAGCCCGTACTCGGCCGCCTGGATCTTCTCACGCGTGGTCTCGGCCAGCTCATGCGACAGCCGCTTCACCTCCGCGCGCAGCCACTCCGGCTGCGCCTCCATCACTAGCCGCGCGTACTCCTCCTCCTCGGACGGCGCGGACATGGTGACCACGGCCGGAGTCACGCCACTCGCTCCGAGGCTCAGGCCGGGTTCCCGACCACCACCGCCGCCGCCGCTGCCACCGCCGCCGCCGCTGCCGCCGCCGCCGCCCAACCCGACGGCGCCCCGGCCACCGCCGCCACGCAGCCGCCGTGAGCTCGCCGCCGCGCGGGGCACTGTGGGGGCCATAGTCCCGCCCGCGGCAACTACAAGGCCCGTCGCGCCCAGCGCTCGTCATCCCCCACCCGTGATTGGCCCGCGCCCCGTGCCGGGAGGCCCCTTCCAATGCTGTAGCCTCCGCTGCTGCCGCGCGGAGCATTGTGGGGGTCGTAGTCCCACCAGCGCACCGACTACAAGGCCCTTAGTTCCACACGCCCGCCCGCCCCCGCCCGTGATTGGCCAGGGCATCCGCCGTCGCGGAGCCGGAAACTGGTGTTTTTCGGTGCCCGGCCCCGGGCCTGCGAGGCGTGGGTAGGTGGTGCGGTAAGTTACCGGCAGGACGCGGACTGCAATGTGCAGGGGCTGGGTGGAGCCGGCCACCGATCTAAACCACCCTATGTGGAGCGCTCGGAGCGTCGGGGTGACGGCGAGCCGGGTGGCGGTGGGGACTATAACCCGACGGTTCAGACGGATGAGGTCTGCGGAGCCCAGGACGTATCCAGTGGGAAGGATGGTCAAACCGCTAGCGGAAGAGACGCCTTCGCCCCAGCTAAATACGAAATGCCTCGTGCGTGTTTCCTAAGAATTAGGCATTTCCATGCGTCCTACGATGATTCAATTCAGGACCGCCGACACTGACGGGGCCTCGAATCCAGCATGGCTTCCCTGCGCTACCCTCGTAGCATGGTTCCGGTACGGAACCCGGTTCTGGGTCACGCCTCAAATGGCAGTCAGGTGTCCTTACTGTCCCTCAATCTGGGAGACTTTCTCCCTCTTTGTCTTTATGACCTTGACCTTTCTGAGGCGTGCAGGCCAGAGATGTGCACACCGATGCATCCCCACGGTTACATTAGGTTATGCACTTTGGCTGGAATATCAACGAGGTGGTGCTAAATTCTCACAGAATCCTGTCAGGAGACTCGCAAACCCATGGCCCGGATGCTGCTGGATACTCCTTTGTAATCATTGATACTATCCTGTGAGAAGACAATTCAGACTTTGCAAATATCCCGTCACTCCTCAAGCTTTTAAAATTTTTATTGAGGTATACTTGATTTATTATACATGAGTTTCAGGTGTACAATGTAGTGATTCACAATTTTTAAAGATTATACTCCATTTATAGTTATAAAATATTGGCCATATTCCCTGTGCTGTACAATATATCCTTGTAGCTTTATTTTATACGTAGTGGTTTATACCTCTTAATCCCTTACCCCTGTCCTGCCTCTCCCCTCTTCTTTCCCCCCACTGGTAACCATTAGATTGTTCTCTACATCTGTGAGTGTTTCTTTTTTGTTATGTTCACTAGTTTGTTTTATTTTTTAGTTTCCACATAAAAGTGATAACATACAGTATTTGTCTTTCTCTGTCTCATTTCACTTAGCGTGATATCCTCTAGGTCCATCCATGTTGTTGCAGATGGCAAATTTTCATTCTTTTTTATGACTGAATAGTATTCCATTTGTGTGTGTGTGTGTGTGTGTGTGTGTGTGTGTGTGTACACACCACATTGTCATTATCCATTCATCTGTTGATGGACATTTAGGTTGTTTCCATTATCTTGGCCATTGTAAATAATGCTGCTAGGAACATTGGGGCACTTTGTATCTTTTTGAATTAGTGTTTTCATTTTCTTCGGATATATACCCAGGAGTGGAATTAATGGATCATATAGTAGTTCTACTTTTAGTTTTCTGAGGAACGTCCATACTGTTTTCCACGGTGGATGCACCAATTTACGTTCCCACCAGCAATATACAAGGGTTCCCTTTTCTCTACATCCTCACCAACATTTGTTGTTTGTGGTCTTTTGATGCTAGCCATTCTGACAGGTGTGAGGTGATATCTCACTGTTGTTTTGATTTGTATTTCTCTGATAATTAGCAATGTTGAGCATCTTTTCATGTGCCTGTAAGCCATCCGTATGTCTTCCTTGGAAAAATGTGTATTAAAGTTTCCAGCCCATTTTTTAATCAGGTTGTTTGTTTTTTTGATATTGAGTTATATGAGCTCCTCAGACTTTTTTTTTTTTTTTTAAATCAGGAGAAGAAAGGGTTTATTACTTGCAGCAAGTAAGGAGAACACCGGGGATCTTTCCTAAAGCAGCATCTCCCAGAACAGTAAAATTGGGGAAGTTGTAAGCTGAGGGTACATGCATATTCATGAAGGGGCTGGGACAGTTGACAGAATCCAAACTTTAGTTGATTGAAGTCACCAGGGTCAGAAAAGGTCAACATCATCATCCCTTAGATTCTGGTTGATCTGGTGGTTGAGTGCTTCAGGCTAACCTTTACCACTGAAAGATAACTGGCAGTCTTCACAACTGATATATTATCTTTGCTATTGTTACTTATCTTGCCTGATAGCAGGTAATGTTTCTGCATTCTTTTGTTCCCTTAAGATCATTAATTACTGAGATCTGTTCAAGGGCAAGCATTGTAGCCAGGATTAGACCACAAAATGGCTTAGGCTGAGCTCCTTAAACTTTTAACTCACTAGTTTTCATTGATATTTCTTGCCTAAATGAATTATTACCAGACTATTCTTTTCTATATATTTATTTATTATTATTATTTTTAAACATCTTTATTGGAGTATGATTGCTTTACAATGGTGTGTTAGTTTCTGCTGTATAACAAAGTGAATCAGCTGTGCATATACATACATCCCCATATCTCATCCCTCTTGCGTCTCCCTCCCAGCCTTCTAGGTGGACCCAAAGCACCAAGCTGATCTCCCTGTGCTATGCGGCTGCTTCCCACTAGCTATTTTATATTTGGTAGTGTATATATCAGACTATTCTATTTCCATCATTCCTTTTCCACTTACTAACTTTGTACTCTAGGGAAGATACTACATTCATTAGTGGTATGGATCTGTGGATTCTTATTTTACTTAATGAGTTATAATCCATTAGTCTCCATATTCACTTAGATACTCAAACGTGGCAGATTTGGCCAGTGGGAGCTCCACCAGCTGGCTTTGTATCCTTTCAACATGTCACGATTTTTGAGAATTTTCTTACATTCTAGCAAAGTTGTTCCAGGATCATCTTGTACTCTGGGCCCAGACCTGGAATCAGCCATTTCTCCAAGGAGCCCTGATTCCTTTTAGTGGTTTAATGTTTTATTTGTATGAGGAGAATATGTCATAAGTTTACTTGTGAAATTAAAAAATAATTTTTAGGGCATTCAATCACAGTAGGAGTAAGATGCCCAATCAGCCTGTCTTGTCCTTGTCTTAGCACTGAGAGTTCCAAGTCTTAGGAAACCCTCAGGCCTAGGCTCACCATTCAGTCTAAGTGGTAGAGATGCTAGGGAAAAGAAGGGAGAAGGAACATAAGAGGAAGATGCTCTGAGAATTGGTGGCCCCTTCTGACCCAAACTGGCCAAACTCCAAACCCCCACCCAACTCCATGCCTTCATATGAGGCTGGCCTGAGGAGGGAGAAGAGAAAAGGCTGTGGGAATCTGGTGCAGGCAGACATTGACCACGGAGCTTAGAACTTGGAGACAGGGTGGTGGTGGAAGGGGACAGGCAAGGACTCTCATAGGTGCTGGGGACAGAGGACCTGTCACTGGAGGTGACGTGTGTGTCATCATGTGTGTGTTTCTTTTTTCCTGTTCATTCTGTTAATGTGATATATTGGTTGATTTTCATACGTTGAATCATGATGTGTGACAGTGTTGGGGGAATAGTCATCAGGAAGAGATTCCCTGAGGATATGACACCTGAGTGGAGACCCAGAAGATGCACAGGAAGTGGCCAGTGAGGCTGCTGGAATAGGGGATTGGCAAAGAGAAGAGAAGCAGTTCTGCTGCTTTTTGGGCTCCAGCTGGGCCTCCAACATTGCCAGGTACTTGACCTCCATCATTTCATCGAGTCCTCCCAAGACCCCGGGATGTGGGGCTTATGCTACATGTTTTACAAATGAGAAAACAGGCTCAGGGCAAAATCCTTAGTTATCACCTTTGGCTTCTTATACCCTCCATCTGATTTGTCAATCTGTGAGCAAACGACAGACCCAGACCTAGCCTTGGCCTCCTGCCTTCCTGACTGCCCCCTCTTTGGCTCGAACCCAATTGCCTCCCAACTGGACTATTGTAGTCATCTTCTCACTGGCCTTCCCCCAGCCCCCTCACCGTATCTTTTCTCTAACAGTAGCAGTAGGATCCTTAGCCCAAGGCAAGTCATACACCCTCAGCTCAAAACTCTCCTTTAGTACATTTTCAGGCTGCTGTAACAATACCACGGTTGGGAGGCTTATAAGCAAAAGACATTTATTTCTTAAGGTGCTGGAAGTCCAAGACCATGGTGTCAGTAGATTCAGTGTCTAGTGAGAACCAGCTTCCTTTTCTCTCACTGTGCCCTCACATGGCAGGAGGGGTGAGGCAGCTATCTGGGGTCTCTTTTATAAAGCCACTTATCATGGGGGCTCCACCCTCATGATCGAATCACCCACAAAGACCCCACCATCCTAACACCATCACCTTGGGGGTTAGGATTTAATGTGTGAATTTGGTCGGGCACAAAACTTTAGATCATAGCCCCTTCCCAGAGGCAAAGCCTAATTATGGCAGCCATCCGCCAAGACACTTCACATTCTGGGAAGTGGCCCTTCTGCCCCCCTGACTTGTTCCCTTCCTGGCTTTATCTTTCTCCGTGGCATCCTGCATGTTGTGCTTATTCACGTTTGCACCTTGTCTCCTCCTGGAATGTCAGCTCCAGGAGGCAGGGACCTTGACCAGGCCTCAGCAGTCTCCTGACCCACACACCAGGGCCTCCAGCCAGGGTCCTGCAGGGGCTCAGGACTCAGCGGAGACCAGGCTGTCCTTATTATCCCCCCTCCCTGGACCCTATACCCCTTCGCCAGGATGGAAGACA